TTTTTCGTTTGAAAATCTAGGTATTGTATCAAAGTCACTGCTTCTTAATATGTCTTGTGTGATAGCTTTTTTAATTGTTGTTTGTATAAATTCTTACTTGTAATATTGCTAGAAGGAATAGTCAGTTGCTTATTTTTATGGATTTAGGGATGATCCACGATTCCCAACAGTACGTGGGACACTTCGCCGTGGGTTGACTGTAGAGGGTCTGAAGCAGTTCATACTTGCTCAAGGAGGAAGCCGTTCGGTTGTAACTATGGAGTGGGACAAAATATGGGCGTTCAACAAAAAAGTGTTTATTTAAAGCTTCTAATTTCTATGGAATTTTTATGCATAATTTTTTTGCTTGTTTCTCTTTAGTGGTATGCTACTGGTTACATGGTATAATATTCATACGTTCAGGTAATTGACCCCGTAGCACCACGTTATACAGCACTTGCTACAGAAGACCCTCCAGTGACGGTTATGATTGAAGATGATGTAAAAGAAGAGGAGAAAAGCGTTCCTCTGCACCCAAAAGTGTGTCTCTTTTTGTGTTTTGTTTCTTATTCAAATTTAACTAAGTTTTTTTTGCACCTCTGTTTACAGACGATACATTGAAGGTTTTAGGATTCGGGAGTGGGCGAGAAAAAAATTTGGTACGGGAAAAGAATTCTGGTTGAATCAGCAGATGCTCGAGAAATGAAAGTTGGGGATACCGCGACTTTTATTCATTGGGGAAATATGAAGATTTTGGAGTTGCAGAAAGATAGTGAAGGAAGGATTAACTTGATTAAGACGAAACTGGATCTTGAAAACAAGGTTATATACAATTTTTAATGGCTTTCTAATTGATGTACCTTATCTTGGGTGTTTAGGATTTTAAAAAGACCCTGAAGGTTACATGGATTGCCGATGTTTCTGAGGGTCCAACTGTCCCAGTGAAAGGAATTAAATATGATCATATTATTACGAAAGCCATTGTTGGTAAGGATGAAGATTGGAAACAGTTTGTCAATTATAACTCGAAGGTTACCATTTATTGCAGTTTTTCGTGGATGCGGCGTTTTAATGCTTTTGTAGAAAGTATTTCTACTGTTTTTTAAGGTATTTTTTTGCAACGAATGCAAAAAAGTTATTTTGCTTTTAATTTTGCAGCATTTTTACTCAATGGAAGGGGAGCCAGCAATGAAGAGACTAAAAAAAGGTGACATAATTCAAATTCAGCGCAAGGGGTATTATATTTGTGACTCGCCTTACGAAAGAAAAAGTGGTTTCTCATCTGTCGAAATGCCTCTCGTATTGATAGAAATACCTGATGGTAGCAAGCCGCAAGTGGAGGTTGCGTAGCTGTTTTTTTCTTGTTTCTTTCAATAGTCTGATGAAGTATGCGATTAGCAGTACCAGTAATTTCTGGCCTAGATTACCTTGAATGGTGGTTGTATTCAGTTTGTAAAACTGGAATTAGGCGGAAGTTCAGATGAAATTGAAGAAACTGGATTTATAGGAAACTTGGTGGGGTAACAGTAGATGAATTTTTTATTAAAATCTGCGATTGTGGGAATTTCTTACGTAATTTCATGTCATTTAGCTCTGATAATGAAGAAAAAGTTTTTTTGGGTTGCTCCGAATTGGAGGAATTATACCATTTAAACCCTCAAAGCGGTTTGAAAATTCATTTAATTTTGAGAGGTTTTTACAATTTGGTGACAATTTGGTGAATTTGGTGACGTTAAAAAGCACGTGTGTTTCTAATGAAATCTTTCTAAGTCAGGAACATGGTTTATCCAAACTTAAACGGCGTGAAATTTCTAGTTGAAAAAACTCATATTTAAAAGATAACTGATCTTTATGTGGAATTCTTTTGCGCTGGTTCCTCAAAGTTTGTTACAGTAAGATGCGGCAGACAACTAGTTATATTTTATAGCTTTATTTGGACATTCGTCTTTTTTTTCGGACATCTAGGTATGCGAACTCAAATTTTTTGTTTAGGGAATATGCAGATTTTTATGAATTAAGCTAAACAAAAGATTGTTATTTCTTATTTCTTTAACACTCTTCTTTTATTTGAAGGAAGGAGAGAAGCAGAAGTCGAACAAGACCTCTAAACAACCCGGAAATGTGAAACCATATGAATCGGCAAATTGCTCTTCAGACGCTATGGAATTATATAAGAAGGTTGAAGAACAAGGGAATTTGGTGAGGACTTTGAAAAGCCAGGATCCTAAGAGTGAGCAAACAAAAG